AATTAAAATGACTTGAGGCTGCAAATAATTTTTCCATCCTAATCATCTCTTCGAAATATTTCTAAACTCTTAAAATGTAATTAATCTAGAACAGATTAAATCTTGGATATTCTTGGGGAGCGGTATTCCTTTGTATTCTTTTAATTGTCTGGTAGAGATTATGTTTTGTTTAGAATATTTGTATCTATCATTATAAGGGAATCTGGTCTTGTTTAATTTTGACACTATGGCTATGCTGCCAGCCTCAGAGAATGAGCTTCAAAAATTTTATTGGGGGAGGAAGCTGGAAAATTTTAAGTGTTAGACTACTTAGCCTAAATTTCTCAAAAACCACAAGCTACCAAATCTCAACTATGATGAAACAGGTATCCCAAGTAGCCATATGACTGAATAACTATTAAAGAAACTTAATTTATAATTGTAAAGCTCCCTAAAAATCCTCAGGCCCAAATGGTTTCACTTGCAAATTTTCATAAACATCTGAAAAATGAACACAAATTTTATACAACTTCTTTCAGAAAACAGAAAAACACTTCCCAATTCATTTTATGAGGCCAACATTATACAATACAAAGTGAGACAAAGACTAGAAGAAATAAGGAAAGGAGGGAGGAAAAGAAAGAAAATGACAGGAATGACAAAACATAATTTTAGAAAAATCTTCTACAAAATGTTAGCATATCAATTCCAAAAAGAAATTAGAAAAGATCACTACGTGGAATTTATTACAGGTATACAAAGACTGGTTTTATATTCAAAAATCAATCCATGTAATCCACCATATAAATAGGTTGAAGAAAAACATCATGTAATCATATCATGTGTCTGGATGAAATCCAATATGCACTCATGATTTTAAAGCCTCTCAAGAGCAGAAGGGAACTTCTTCAATTTAAAAAAAGAGCATCGAGGGGCGCCTGGGTGGCTCAGTCGTTAAGCGTCTGCCTTCATGATCCCAAGGTCCTGGAATCAAGCCCTGCATCGGGTTCCCTGCTCAGCGGGAAGCCTGCTTCTCCCTCTCCCACTCTCTCTGCTTGTGTTCCCTTTCTCGCTGTGTCTCCCTCTCTGTCAAATAAATAAATAAAATCTTAAAAAAAAAAGCATCGACATAAAGCTTACAGCTTACTTTGTACTTCATGGTGGAAAGACAATGTTTTCCCCTAAGATCTGAAAAATGCAAGGATGTCTGTTCTCGCCTGTGTGATTCAACATACCACTAAAAGTTACAGCCAGCATAAGGCAAACAAAAGAAAGAAAAGACACAGACTTTCCTGTCGCTGTTCACAGATGACATGATTGTCTATGTAGAAAACTCCAAGGAATTTACTAAAAAATGAAAGAAAACCTTCCAGAATGAGTTGGTGAGTTGTGCAGCAAGGTCACAGATTACCAGATCAACATACAGATATACATTTATATAATTTGTATATACTAATGTTGAATAGTTAAAAATTGAAATTAAAAACACCAATTAGAACTTTCCAAAGAAAGTGAGACACCTAAGTATATATACTTACAAATCATGTATAAGATCTGTATGCCAAAAATTACAAATCCTAATAAAAAATTTTTTAAAAGATGATGTTAGTTTCCTCGGGCTGCCATAACAAACTACCACAAGCTTAGTGTTTTCAAACAGCAAAAATCTATTATAGTTTTGGGGAACAGAAGTTCAAAATTAAGGTATTGGCAGGGTCATGCTCTCTCTGAAGGCAGGGGGAGAATCCCTTTTTTCCCTTCTAGTTTCTAGTAGTTACTAATTCTTGGTGTTCCAAGAATTGGAGATGCATCATTCAATCTGTCTCTGGTTTCACATGGCCTTCCCTGTGTGTCTGTGTCCATATTTCCCTCTTAATGGACACGAGCCATTAGAATAATTAGTAATCTAATCCAATATGATCTCCATCTTAACTTGAATACATCAACAAAGACCCTATTTCCACAATAGGTCACACTCACAAGTACCAGGAGTTATTACCTGAATATTTTGGAGAACACAATTAAACTAACAATAACATAAAAATGGAGAGACATACCAGATTCATGGATTAAAAGATTTACTAAAGGGGCGCCTGGGTGGCTCAGTCGGTTGGGTGGTCATGATCTCAGGGTCCTGGGATCAAGCCCCATTTCTGGCTCTCTGCTCAGCGGGGAGCCTGCTTCTCCCTCTCCCTCTGCCTGCCGCTCTGCCTACTTGTGCTCTGTCAAATAAATAAAATCTTAAAAGATTTACTAAAGATATAAATTATTTCTAAACAGAATTCCTATTAAAACCTTAAGCTTATCCTAATATTTATATGAAATGGCAAAAACTAAGAATAGGTAATCAGCTTGAAAAAAAATAAAGTAGGAGAAATCCCATTAAGACATCCTATAAAATGACAGTAATCAAGGCAGTGTGATATTGGCAGAGGGACAGACACAGATCAATGGAAGGAAAGAGAAAACGCTGAAGTAAGATATACACAAATATATTCAATAGATTTTTGACAGAGGTACAAAAGCAATTTAATGGAGGAAAGACAGTCTTTTCAACAAATGATGCTTGAGCAAATGGACATCCATTAGCCAAAACAAACAAAGAACATTAAGCTAAAGCATACTACATGAAAAATTAACCCAAAGATTATAGACATGTGTAAAATGTGTAAAATCATAAAAAATTTATGCAAAAACATAGGAAAAATCTTTGGAATCTGGGCTAGGCAAGGAGTCCTTAGATTTGACACCAAAGCAAAGCCCATAAAAGGAAAAATTGATAAAGTAGACATTATCAAAACTGAAAACTTTTGCTCTTCAAAAGACCCTATTAAAAGGTTAAAAAAATAAGCTATGCTTCAGGAAAAATATTTACAACCACATAGCAAAGGACCAGTATCATCTAGAATATAGAAAGTACTCTTTCAAAACCCAACAATAAAAAATAAAACAATTCAAAAATGAGTAAAGGACACAGGCATTTCACCAAAATGGACATACAGATGACAAGCACGGGAAAAGGTATTCAACATCATTAGTCATTAGGGGAATGCAAATTAAGATCACGAAGAGACATTACACACCTATCACAATGGCTAAAACAAAAAGTGATGACAACACCAAATACTGAGAAAGTCACTCATAACGCTCCTGGTGTGAATGTAAAATGGTAAAGCCATTTTGAAAAATAAGCTGTCCATTTTTTATAAAAGAAAACATGAATTTACTCTAAGACCCAGAAATTGCACTCTTAGGCATTTATATCAGGGAAATGGAAATTATAGTCACACAAAAACCGATATATAAATATTCATATGTAGCTTTATTTGTAACAGCCATTTTCCTTAGGATTTCCTTCTAATAAGAATTTTAATGTTCAGAACAAGGTATAACCTCACATTAATTGTATTAGGATGTTCTGTTCCAAAATCATTTATCTGATGATTAGTAACTGATTAAAGTGTTACCTTGTGTACTGTATTTGTAAAGTCTTCCTCTCATTTGAATTCTTTAATATTATACAATTAAAATACTGAAAGAAGGAAACCTCCATGCACTGTTGGTGGGAATGTAAACTGATGTAACCCCTGTGGAAAACAGTATGAAGATTCCTCAAAAAAATTAAAAATAGAAATACCATACTATCCAGTAACTCCACTACTGGGCATTTACCCAAAGAAAATGAAAATACAAATTTGAAAAGATATATGCATCCCAATGTTTATTGCAGCATTATTTACAACAGCTAAGACATGGAAGCAACCTAAGTGTCCATCAATAGACGAATAAATAAAAAAGATATAGTATGTATATACAGTGGAATATTAGCCATAAAAAAGAATGAGGTCTTGCCATTTGCAACAACATGGATGGACTTAGAGGACATTAGGCTAAGTGGAATAAGTCAAACAGAGAAAGACAAATACCATCTGATTTCACTTATATCTGGAATCTAAAACACAAAACAGAAACAGAATCATAAATACATAGAACTGGTGGTTGCCAGAGGGGCGGGGGTTTGGGGGTGGGTGAAATAGGTGAAGAGGATTAAGAGGTACAAACTTGCAGTTAGAAAATAAGTAAATCGGATGCCTGGGTGGCTGTCAGTTAAGCGACTGCCTTCTGCTCAGGTCATGATCCCTGGGTCCTGGGATCGAGCCCCGCATCAGGCTCCCTGCTCTGCGGAGGGCCTGCTTCTCCCTCTCCCTCTGCCTGCCATTCTGCCTACTTGTGCTATCTCTGTTAAATGAATAAATAAAAAAATCTTTAAAAAAAATAAAAACAGAATAAGTAAATCACAGGGATGAAAAGTACAGCACAGTTAATAGATCACAGTCAATAATAATATTGTAACAATGTTGTATAAAGACAGATGATAACCACACATATTGTGGTCAGTACTGAGTAAGGTACAGAATTGTCAAATCACTATAGTGTACACCTGAAACTAATATAACATTGTATGTCAACTACACTTCAATTGAGAAAAAAGATGACTCTTGAGCCCAGAAGGAAAACAAAATTTTTTAAAATACTGAATAATAAAATTTCAATAATAACTAATGGTAAGTATAATTTACTTATTAGACACTGCTTCAAGGCTCTATATGTATTTATGTCTAAATCATTATAATGAGAATATTTAATGTTTTATAAATGAAAAAACTAAAGCAACAGAGGTTAACTAACTTTCCCAAAGGAACACACATATAGTAAATGGTGGGACTCAGATCATGCTAAATAAGAGAACAATGCCAAACAAGAAAACCCATTTTATGGTTGTACTCTCATATGAATTCACTAACAAAGACTGAAATATGATGGAAACTGATTCTCCCTTATATTAATCTAGCCTTTCCTTGTTTGAATTTTCTGAGTCATTACCTATGAGTGAAAGTAAAGGATTCCCACTTTCATAATTTGAATTACCTGACATTCCAAAACGGAGTGCCAATGGGCAGATAAAAGATTTAATAAATTTGTATTTTCATAAAGTTTTTCTCAATTATGAAGTTTATGATGTTGAGTAAGGTGTGAGTGACGTCTAAAGTCCTTACCACATTCATTACATTTATAAGGCTTTTCACCAGAATGAATTCTCCGATGTTGAGTAAGTTGTGAGCCACGATTGAAGGCCTTCCCACATTCATGACATTTGTATGGTTTCTCACCAGTATGAATTCTCTGGTGCTGGGTAAGATGTGAACCACGAATAAAGGCTTTCCCACATTCATTACACGCATAGGGCTTCTCACCAGTATGAACTCTCTGATGATAAGTTAGCTGTGAGCCACGAATAAAAGCCTTACCACATTCCTTACATTCATATGGTTTCCTACCAGAATGAGAAATCTGATGTAGAGTAAGCTGTGAGGCACAAATAAAGATCTCCCCACACTGCTTACATTCACAGGGATTCTCACCTGTATGAATTCTCTGATGTTGAGTCAGTTGTGAGCTATAAATAAAGGCCTTCCCACACTCTTTACATTCATAGGGTTTCTCACCAGTATGAATCCTCTGATGCTGAGTAAGATGTGAGCCACGAATAAAGGCTTTCCCACATTCCTTACATTCAAAAGGTTTTTCACCAGTGTGAATTTTTTGATGTTCAGTAAGTTGTGAGCCACGAATAAATGATTTCCCACATTCTTGGCATTCATAGGGTTTCTCACCAGTATGAATCCTCTGATGTCGAATAAGCTGTGAGCCATAGTTAAAGGCCTTTCCACATTGCTTACATTCATGTGGTTTCCTACCTGTATGAATCCTCTGATGTTCAGTAAGTTGTGAGCCACGAATAAAGGACATCTCACAATCTTTACATTTATAGGGTTTTTCGCCAGTATGAAGTCTGTGATGTAGAGTAAGCTGTGAGCCGTAACTAAAGGCTTTCCCACATTTCTTACATTCATAAGGTTTCTCACCTGTATGAATTCTCTGATGTTCAGTAAGTTGGGAGCCACGAATAAAGGCCTTTCCACATTCTTTACATTGATAGGGTTTCTCTGCAGTATGAACTCTCTGATGGTAAGTAAGTTGAGACCCACGAAAAAAGGCCTTACCACATTCATTACATTCATAGGGTCTTTCACCAGTATGAATTCTTTGATGTTGGGTAAGATGAGAGCCACGAATAAAGGCCTTCCCACACTCTTTACATTTATAAGGTTTCTCCCCAGTATGAATTCTTTGATGATAAGTAAGCTGTGAGGCACAAATAAAGGCTTTTCCACATTCCTTACATTCATAGGGTTTCTTAACATGAACTCTCTGATGGTAAGTAAGTTCTGAGCCCCAAATAAAGGCCTTTCCACATTCTTTACATTCATAGAATTTTTCATTGGAATGAACTTTCTGATGTTCTGTAAGTTGAAAGCCACGGATAAAGTATTTTCTGCATGCTTTACATTCATAGGATTTCTCCAGAAAATGAATTCTTCGTTTTAATGTGAGGGATGTGGTCTGGCTAAAATTGGGAATTTCTTTACAAGTGATTAATAGTTGCCTGAAAAGTCCCTCTTTATTTCCTAATTGGCTTTCAATCTTGTCTTTGCATTCCCTATCATCTTGAAAACTTTTACACTCACACTTATGTCTTGTGAGCTGTTCTATTATCTCCCATTGAGATGATTCTATTTCATAAATTCCTCTCTTTGAGGACAGGTTTTTGGTCTCACACCTGGATTCCCAGTCTGTAAGGTAACAAGAAAGTAAATGTTATTTTCATATTCCTTGAAAAATAAAACCTCTAAGGTAGTAAGAGTAGACTCAAACTGAACATCATACTCATGTCAATGGAACCAGTGGAGCAGAAAAGAAAAATCCAGAAACAGTGCAAATTTAGTATACAATAAAGCTGGCAGCTCAAATCAGTAGGAAAAACATGAACTCTTTTTAATAAATGATATTATAAACATATGGGTAGACATATAGAAAAAAGATAAAATTTTATTAATTCCTCATATCGTACAGTTGGACAAATTCCAAGTGGATAAGATGTCCACACTTACAGAAATGAAAACATATAAGTAATTAGAATAAAACTTGAGTGAGATTTCTTCCATAAACTAGGAATGGGGAAAACTTTCCTAATCATAATTTGATAAAAATGACCACAATATAGTTAAAGAAAAAAAAAAGTTGGCATGTCAAAAACAGGATAGGGTAAGTAAAATGACAAATACTTGCAAAGTTGCATTATGCCTATTATATACCTAATATATAAACAGTTTCTAAAATTAGACTAAAAAGAAAAAGACTACTATATAAAACTGGACACCAGCACTATATAAAAATGGATTAGGAAAATGGACAGTTGATAGAAAAGTAATGTAAATAGCTTTTAACCATATGAAAATATACTCAAATTTGCTATAAGATAAATGCAAATTAAAGCTACACAGAAGTGAGGATATGGAGAAACTGGAACTCTCATAGCTTGCTCATGGGAATGCAAAATGGTACAGCTGCTTTGTAAAACAGTTTTGCACTTCCTTGGAAAGTTAACATAGAGTTGCCATATTACCCTGCAATTTCACTCCAAGTTATATGCCCAACAGAAGTGTCCAACATAGAGTTACCACATAACCCAGAAATCCCACTCATAGGTACAGAGCCAAGAGAACCGAAAACACATGTCTATATAAAAACTTGAATACAATGTTCATAACATTATTTGTCATAAGCATAAGGTGGAAATAACTCAAACATCCACCGATGAATGGATAAATAAAATATGGTATATCCTTACAATAGAACATTTGGCAATAAAAATATTGACGTTACAACATGAATGAACTTTGAAAATATTATGCTTAGTGAAATAAGCCAGTCACAAAAGACCACATACTGTATGATTCCTTTTATAGGAACTGTCCAGAATAGGCAAATCCATACAGACAGAGCAATAGCTGCACAGGGCTGAGGGGTAGACAGAGAAACATGGGGAATGGATACTACTGGATACTGGTTTCTTTTTAAGGTGATAAAAATATTCCAAAATTGTGGTGATGGCTGTATGAGACTGTGAATACAGTAAAAATCATCACTGTTTGCTATAAATGGGTAAACTGTATGTCATGTGAAATATATCACAGTAGTTCTAAAAAACTACAGACATGCTATTTGTCACCTTTTAGAATAGGGAATTTCCAAATATGACATCAAATACTGTTAGCAAGGCTATAAGGAAATTGGTACTTATATACATTGCTAGTAAGAATATGAATGATAGAAACCTTATGAAAGGAAATATGGCAGTATTTAGCACAATTACATGTATGATTTGATCTAACAACTCCACTTCTGTGAAATCAATCCCAAAATTGCATTAGTGAAATGTCAAAAGTCTGCTGCAGAAGGGTTTCACTGAAGCATAATGCGTTACAGCAAAAGATTAAAAATTACCCAATTGTCCATTGGTAAGTGGCTGATGGAAGTAATTCATGGTTTAGCCACATTACAGAGTACCATGCAGCAGTTAAAAAAGGGAACATAGGGGCACCTGGGGGCTCAGTCGGTTAGGCCTCTGCCTTGGCTTAGGTCATGATCTAGGGTAATGGGATTGAGCCCCGCATCAGGCTCCCTGCTCAGCGGGGAGGCTGCTTCTTCCTCTCCCTCTGCTTCTCCCCTCTGCTGTTCTCTCTCCCAAATAAATAAATAAAATCTTAAAAAAATACATTGTTAATTGTGAGGAAATGTGGACAAAAGTATGTATAGTTATGCCTTTTATCTTAGGAAGGAGAGGTGGAAGAGGAAGTATGCATGTATAACATACATTTGTTTTTATTTTTTTAAAAGCGGGGATGGATTGTAGGGTGGGGAAGGAACAGGTAGAGGGGCAGGGACAGAAGTCAGACTTCTTTCAATACAACTTGTTTTATAAATTTGACTTTGGGGGTATATAAATATTTTCTGTAATTATAAAACAAATTATAACAAGCACAGCTTAAAAGTGGAAGATACTGAATTAAAAAAAAAACAGTATTTACAATTATTGGAATAACCACACAAGGAAACTATTTCAAATAACTCAAACATAGTAATTTGACTGTGAAATACATCCTACAAGGGAGGAAAAAAAGAATTGCCAAAATAATTGTCGCAAACTGTTTTGAGTAATCATACTGTTGGTAGTAATGTTGATCTTATTTTAGAGATTTGTTTGTATAATGTAGAATAAAGTAAGTAAATATGATAGGGCGCCTGGGTGGCTCAGTTGGTTTAGCGACTGCCTTCAGCTCAGGTCATGATCCTGGAGTCCTGGGATCGAGTCCTGCATCGGGCTCTCTGCTCGGCAGGGAGTGTGCTTCTCCCTCTGACCCTCTTCTCTCTCATGCTATCTCTCATTCTCTCTCTCTCAAATAAATAAATAAAATCTTTAAAAAAAATAAGTAAATATGATATTCCAATCCTATCATTTTTAGTGTTCATGATAACCAGGACTCTTGGCATGGGAGAAAATGGACACAGAGATAAGATCTTTAAAAGGGTTAAATAAAAAGCTTACAATTAGCTGACCATATAGTTGTGGGCCCATTTCTGGGTTCTCTATTCTGTTCCACTGATCTATGTGTCTGTTTTTGTGTCAGTACCATATGTCTAGATGACTAAAGCTTTGTAATATAGCTTGAAATCCAGAATTGTGATGCCTCCAGTTTTTTCTTTTTCAGAATTGCTTTGGCACAGCGAAGGAAACAATCAACAAAACTATAAGGCAGCCTATGGAATGGGAGAAGATATTTGCAAATGACATATCTGATAAAGGGTTAGTATATAAAATCTATAAAGCACTTATCAAACTCAACCAAAAAACAAATAATCCAGTTAAGAAATGGGCAGAAGATATGAATGGACACTTTTCCAAAGAAGACATCCAGATGGCTAACAGAAACATGAAAAGATACTTAACATCATTCATCATCAGGGAAACACAAATCAAAACACAATGAAATACCACCTCATACCTTTCAGAATGGCTAAAATTAACAACACAAGAAGCAATAGGTATTGGTGAGTATGCGGAGAAAGGGCAACCCTTTTGCACTGTTGTGGGAATGCAAACTGGTGCCACCACTCTGGAGAACAGTTTGGAGGTTCCTCAAAAAGTTAAAAATAGAACTACCCTATGATTCAGCAATTGCATTCATTACTAGGTATTTACCCAAAGGATACAAAAATACAGATTTGAAGGGGTACATGCTCTCCAACACCTGGGTGGCTCAGTTGGTTGGGCGACTGCCTTCGGCTTGGGTCATGGTCCTGGAGTCCCGGGATCGAGTCCCACATCGGGCTCCCTGCTCAGCGGGGAGTCTGCTTCTCCCTCTGACCCTCTTCCCTCTCGTGCTCTCTATCTCTCATTCCCTCTCTCAAATAAATAAAATCTTAAAAAAAAAATTATCAATAGTAACCAAACTATGGAGAGAACCCAAACGTCCATCAACTGCTGAATGGATAAAGATGTGCACAATTATATATATAAATATATATACATGTATTTATATATATAAAAATCCCCTGTACTCTACCTAGCCCTTCCTCCTCCCTCCCCAAATCCAGGCAACTACTGATTGTTACTAACTCCACTATTTGCCTTTTCCAGAATGTGATATAGTTGGAATCATAAAGTGTGTAAGTTCTTCAAACTGGCTCCTTTCACTTAACAAGCTGCTAAGCATTTAAGGCTCCTTCATGTCTTTTCATGACTCAATAGCTAATTTATTTTTCACTGCTGAATAATAGTCCTTTTTTGTATGGATGAACCACATTATGTTTATCCATTCACCTACTGAAGGACATCTTGGTTGCTTTCAAGTTTTGGAAAACTTTTATAAACACTTATGTGCAGGTTTTTGTAAAACAAAAGTTTTCAATTTATTTGGGTAAATATCTAGGAGCACAATTACCGGATCATACAGTAGGACTATGTTTAGTTTTAAGAAAGTGCCAAACTGTCTTCCAAAGTGGCTGTACATGGGGCGCCTGGGTGGCTCTGTCAGTTAAGTGTCTGACTCTTGATTTCAGCTCAGGTCATGATCTCAGGGTCATGACATCGAGCACCACATTGGGCTTGACACTCATCGTGGAGTCTGCTTCAGATTGTCTTCCTCTGCCCCTCTCCCCCCTCCCCTGCTCATACTCTAAAACAAAACAAAACATACAAACACACAAAACAAACTGGCTGTACCATTTTGCATTCCTGCCAACAGTGAAAGTGAGTTCCTGTTACCCCACATTATAGACAACATTTGGAGCTCTCAGTGTTTTGGATTTTAGTCATTCTAAGAAATGTATAGTTATGTCTCATGGTTGTTTAAATTTTTAATACCCTAATGACATATGACACTGAGCAACTTTTCATATACTTATTTACCATGAATTTATCTTCTCTAGTGAGGCATCTGTTCAGATCTCTTGGCCACATTTAAATTGGGTTGTTTTGTTATTGTTGAGTTTTAAGAATTCTTTGTATATTTTATACATAAGTTCTTTTTACAAAGATCTTTCTCCCAGTTCATGGCTTGTCTTTTCATTCTCATAACTGTCTTTCGCACAGCAGCAGTTTTTAATTTTAATGAAAAACAATTTTTAACTTTTTTTGTTCATGATTATATTTTTGGTGTTTATATAAAAACTCATTCTGAGCCCAAAATCACCTAAATTTTTCCCTCCATTATCGTCTAGAAGTTTGTAT